TGTGTCCCTGTGGGTGACAGCAGCCCTTGTTGGGTCAAATCCAGCTCTAATGCTGGTTTGAATCTGTTTTTATTCAAAGGGAAAAGAATTCTACAGACCAAGCCCCGGCCCCTCAGACAGGGCTCCAAGAAGCCCCTGTTGGATGACGAGCTGCAGGCCGCAGGCGCGATCTCGTCACAGGCCGTTCCCGACGACAGTAAGCGCTGCCGTGCTGGGCTGAGACAGGCCCGCTGCTCCACGCTCCGAGGCTGTCTCCTTCCCCTCCTGGGCACAAAAGAGGAGGGTCAAATTGAAGGGCATTTTCTGGGCACCAAGCAATCCTTGAACCCATGAGCCTGGAGAGTCTCATGAAATCCTTCCCTGGGGCTGAGAGTGTGGCTTAGTGGTAGAGAGCTTGCCTAACATGATTCCTCTGGACCACATAACCAGAAAAAGCCGGACATGGTGCTGTGGCTCAAGTGGTAGAGCGCTAGCCTTCAGCAAAAAGCAGCTCAGGGACAGCACCCAGGCCCTGAGTTCAAGCCCCAGAACTAACAAAAAACAACAACCAAAACACTTCCCCTCCAGCTCTGAACAGAGTGGCGTCCTCCAGCCAGTGTCTGCCCAGCCTGGCTGGCTGGGCTACACCGGCAGTCCCAATCTTTCTTGGCTGCTGCCTGGGAGGGAGGGCAGAGGTAGTCTCCTAGCTCTGCCGCCTCTTGAGGGTCCCATCGTAGGAATCCAGCACCTTTGCCTCGTTCCTGCACCCCCGCCCTGTCCCTGGTCCCCACACTCACTCCCTGCTGTCCTGCCCCTCCCTGCAGTCATCACGGTGTGTGTGAAGGAAGAGCACATAGACGCAGCCTCGCCCGACAAGGCTTCGGACCCTGAGCTTCCTGTTCCTGTCAAGAGCATCAAGCAGGAGACCGACAGCTGAGCTCCACCGCCAGCCTGGCCCCTTGCTGGAAGCAGATCGGGCCTGGCTCCCTGCTGCCACACACACACACTCGAGTCTGGGCCCAGAGCCTGTGTGGTGTGTGGAGGCCACACGTGCTAAAGGACCTGCCTCTGCCAACTTGTGACCGCGCTGCCCGGGGCCCCACCCCGCTCCAAGCGATCCTCCTGCAGCCTGAGCCCCCCAAAGCGGTCACACTGGCCGCACCCTCTCTGCCGCACCCTCCACACGGGGCCAAGACAAGATGGTATGGGATCTGCTTGTGTACGTGTCCAAGCAGATGCCCAGCGTGGTGGCCCGTGCCCACATCCAGGCATCCGGTCACTGCGGCCTGAGCATTCTAGGGGCGGGAGCAGGTTCTTGGGGACGAGTTGCTCTGAGCAAGGTCCCTCGGCCAACCCCAGGGAAGCCTGGGAGCAGCCTCTGCCTGCCCCGCTCTCCTCAGGGCCTGGTCCCCCCGCGGCGGTGGAGAATGAGGCAGCGGTTAGGACAGAGGGTTTGAGTGACCAGGCAGTGGCCATCTTTCTCTGTTGGTGTGGGCACAGACTCCTGTTCCCTAAAGGGGGTGCTGCAAAGTCCCAGGGGGTTCCTGGCAGACGGTGTGATGGACCAGGCCAGGCTGTATGCAGCTCAGCCATGTGCCGTGAGGGTCCCCAGCTGAATCTAACCTGCTTGAGTTAGACCTGATGGTTAGCCTACGTACGTTAGGTATGGCCTTCATCCAGGGTCTGGCCAACATGATGGCAGGAGTTTCCTGCTTTTCCACAGAGCTCTCTTGGGTGAGGTGAGTGGAAAGCGGAACAGGTTCGCTGCCTGGCTCACGTTTCCTTACTGTCCAGGTCCCCTTAGCGCCTCATTTTCCTCTCCCCCTGCTCTCTAGAAGTTCCATGTCAGCTACTTTCCTCAGTCTCCCTTGATACACTGACCGTCCATCTCTCCCGTAACTTCCGGGAAATCAGGGTAGAGCCCGCTGCAGCCTTAGCCCTGTTCCTCCTCTAGCTCCCGTGGCCCCTCAAGCCCTAGTGCAGGCGGCTCGTGCATCGGGCTGCCGGTCGCTGCTCACCAACACGTGCTGACCACGCTTTCTCCAGGTGCGGCTGGCCCTGAGACGAGACGCAGGTATCCAGCCCTCTCAGTCTGGATATTTGGGGCAGTGTGTTAGCCCCCTCTGCAGAAGGTTCTAGGCATCTAGCCCCCACACTCTACACCCAGGCTACAAACCCAGCCTACAAAGGGACCGTTGACAGCCAGAGTTCCTCAAAATGTAATCCATTCAGTGATGGAAGACTACGGGAGCTAGCAGAGTCCCAGTTCCAAGAGACTATGCGTTTCCCTTCCTTCTGTGCACACACCAGTCTGAGACTGGTGGCTGCAGCCTCTAGACCAGGATCCTGGACAGGAGGTGGCTGGGGATGTGCTCTACTCCCTGCTGAAGAACCCACTGCCTCAGCTTCGGTAGCTGCGAAGGGATGGTTCTGATGGACGCTTCTGGAAAAGCTGGTGTGTGTGTGTGTGTGATGGTTCTGATGGACGCTTCTGGAAAAGCTGGTGTGTGTGTGTGTGTGTGTGAGATTGGGCTTTTGTTTCTTCCTGTGTGTGTGTGTGTGTGTATTGGGCTTTTGTTTCTTCCTGTGTGTGTGTGTGTGTGTGTGTGTATTGGGCTTGTGTGTGTGTGTGTGTGTGTGTGTGTGTGTATTGGGCTTTTGTTTCTTCCTGAAGGTAGAAGGTAAGAAGCCTGCACAAAATCCCATGCTCAGAAGCCTTATGGCCCTTACTGGCTCCCAGTCTCCTTGTATGAGACAGTCCCTTCCTGTTAAAGTCCAATCTGTCAGAGTTGATACCTTGTAGAATGCACTCTGACGTGAGTTAACTACAGAAGGCACAGCAATAAAGATGGTCACTTCTCACTACTTGAGTGCCCTGTCCTATACTGTCCTTTGGCTTCCATAATTCCCCTCCCCAAAGCTATGAGGGTGGGGCCCAGGTCTTGTGTCCTTGGTACCCACTTCAGACCTGGCATAAAGCATGATGAGTATTAGAACAAAGCGTACTGGTTAAGAAACCATTACTGGTGCCTACAGGTCAGGTGTTTTGTCGTTTGAGACTACGGTCTCACTGTGTAACCCGTGCTGGCCTCCAGCCTCTTTCCCTGCCAGAGCCTCCCACATGCTTGTCCTCACCCAACTGAAATTTAATTGGTCACAGCTGCAAGTATTGATCTCAAGGCTCAGAGTGAACTTTGTACTTCAGCTTGCCCTTAGGCGGAGACCAAAGGTCATTGGATCTCAACGGCTGCACCACTGGTTGAGATCCTAAAGGTCTTCCACACTGGGCATTTGCTCTACCTGAGGCCCTGCAGTGACTGATACAAACCCAGCCAAAGCCCAGCACAGCAGCGAGCCGCCCTGTGCCTCAGCCATTTAGTGACCCAAACTAGACTTGTGCTTGAGGGAAGGGGAGCAGCACAACAGCCATGTGTAACGACTCCTGCACCGGACGCAGACTGCATCCCAGGTCCAATGTCCACCTTCAACATGGTCTGGACGCAGACCGCATCCAAGGTCGTATGTCCACCTTCAACGTGGTCCTGGGACATTTTTCTTTTTGGTCATGGGGCCTGAACTCAGGGCTGTCCCTGAGCTTTTTCACTCAAGGCCTGGGGTGATGCGGAGAGGCTCACCCAGCTGCGGACTGCTGCGATACCTGGTAGGAAGCTGGTGCCGGCGAGTGCTGAGCTGGTATTGCCTCTGTCACTATTAGTGCCAGTTCTAGCTTCTAAAGCAGGATTTGTTCATCTGCAGCACGGGATTTTTTTTTTTTGGGGGTCCGGTCGTGGGGCCTGAACTCTGGGCCTGGGCGCTGTCCCTCAGCTCTTCAGCTCAAGGCTAGTGCTCTACCACTTGAGCCACAGCGCCACTAAAGGCTTTTTTTCTTTTTGCTTATGTGGTGCTGAGGAATCGAACCTAGGGCCTCAGGCATGCAAGGCAAGTGCTCTACCACTGAGCCACCTTCCCAGCCCCGGGATTTTTTTTTTCTTGGTCAGTTGTAAGTCTTGAACTCGGGGCCTAGGCACTGCCCCTGAGCCTCTTTGTGCTCAAGGCTGGCGTTCTATCACTTGAGCCACAGCTCCACTCTGGTTTTTGAGTGATTAACTGGAGATAAGTGTCTCACAGGGACCTTCTGCCCAGGGCACCTTGGAACCATGATCTTCAGCTCTCAGCCTCCTGAGTAGCTACGATTACAGGCAAGAGCCACTGGCGCCAGGCAGACTGGGGTCTTTTTAGGGGTTCCTTCCTCACACCCAGATTACCTGCACAAAGAACAGTTATGGTTTTGACTTGTGTTTCGCCTAAAATGTATGTTGGAATCACAATCCCCCAGTTAACTTGGAATCTGACCTCATTTGAAAATAGGGGCTTCACAGAGGTGAGGAAGTAAGGGTATGCGGTCAGACCCTACTTCAATGCAGCTCGTGTCTGTGAAACAGGAAATCTGCAAATGGAGATAGAAGGAAGCCAGGTACTGGTGTCTCACACCTGTAATCCTAGCTACTCAGGAGGCTGAGATCTGAGGATCTCAGTTCAAAGGCAGCCCGGGCAGGAAACTCCGTGACTCTTACCTCCAATAAACCACTACAAAACCGGAAGTGCCACTGTGGCTCAAATGGTAGAGTGTTCACCATGAGCTGAAGAGCTGAAGGACAGCGCTCAGGCCCAGAGTTTAAGCCCCACAACCGACAAAAAAAAAAAAAAAAAAAAAAGAAATAGAAGGAAGCTAATACAAAGAGACACAAAACTCCTGAAGGAGGTATGCTGGGATTATGCCACCTTTCGCCACCAGAGGATGATCCTCTGCCTGGGCTGGAAAGTCCTCATGAGACTCATCTCCAATTAACCACCAGAAAAGTGGAAGTGGCACTGTGGCTCAAGTGGTAGAGTGCTACCTTTAGCTGAAGAGCTGAGGGACAGCGCCCAGGCCCAGAGTTCAAGCTCACAATGGACAAAAAGAAAAAAGAAAGTTCTGCTCTCTGGAGACTTTGGGAGCTGGCCCACTCCCCACAGGGCTAACCTTGTCTGCACTTCAGTGTCTTCTCTTGATGCCGGTTCTCCTGGCACTGGATCTGGAGGCTGGTGTCCGCTTGGCCTTCCTGGCAGTCCAGCCTGGGCAGGCTTCAAAGACAGCGGCTGCAGCCTTCACCCTCTGGCCACGAACACTGGGTGGAGCGGCACAAGTAGCCCCTACGCGCAGGTTCAGCCCAGTGAGCCACCTGAGGAGGAAACAGAACTTGGGGAACCCACTGGGGGATAGGCGAATGAGAACTTGAGGGGCAGGTCAGGGGCTACAGGCAGTGGGGCAGAGGATCTATGGCCCATCATGTCACCTCACACCTCAGCACCCTCTCAATAAGGAGGAGATGAGCAAAGTAACAATTACAGGGGTCTTACCACGTTCCACCTCCTCACACCAGTTATATGTGCTAACTCTAAACTGCATTCTTCCAGTCACGGGAAGATACAATCATTCTCCCTTTTCAGAGAAGGGCACCAAGAGCTATGTAACTTTACTTGGTAGTCTGCGTCCAGGTCTGTCTGACTCCAGAGTTCATATTGCTTGTTTGCTTTCTTTTTTTTTTTTGGTCGGTCATGGGGCTTGAACTCTGGGCCTGGGTGCTGTCCCTGAGCTTTTCAGCTCATGGTGAGCACTCTACCACTTGAGCTACAGCACCACTTCCAGCTTTCTGGTAGTTAATTGGAGATAAGAGTCTCATGGTTGGGCGCTGGTGGCTCACACCTGTAATCCTAGCTACTCCGGAGGCTGAGATCTGAGGATCGAGGTTCAAAGCCAGCCCAGGCAGGAAAGTTTGTGAAACTCTTATCTCCAATAAGCCACCAGAAAACCGGAAGTGGCGCTGTAGCTCAAGTGGTAGAGCACTAGCCTTAAGCTGAAGAACTAAGGGAGAGCACTCAGGCCCAGAGTTCAAGCCCCACAACTGACAAAAAAAAAAAAAAAGTCTCATGGACTTTCCTGACTTGGCTGGCTTTGAACCATGATCCTCAAATCTCAGCCTCGGGCTGGGAAGGTGGCTCAGTGGTAGAGCACTTGCCTTGCCTGCATGAGGCCTTGGGTTCGATTCCTCAGCACCACATAAGCAGAAAAAAAAAGCCGGAAGTGGTGCTGTGACTCAAGTGGTAGAGCGCTAGCCTTGAGCTGAAGAGCTGAGGGACAGCGCCCAGGCCCAGAGTTCAGGCCCCATGACCGGAACCCCCCCCAAAAAAAAAAAAGAAAAAAAAAAAAGCTCAGCCTCATGAGAAGCTAGGATTATAGGCGTAAGCCATCAGTGCCTGGCTCATATTGCTTTCTTATGAAATTATTGAAAATATCTGCAAATATTTCTTAGGACTCAGCCTATTAGGCAGGCAAACAATCCAACTTTATAAATGAAGAAATCAAGGCTCAGAGAAGCAGGATACCAGGGGCTCATGCCTATAATCCTGGCTTCTGAGGAGGCTGGAATCTGAGGATCACAATTTGAAGCCAGCCTGGGCAGGAAAATTTGTGAGACTTTTATCTCCAAATAATCAGTAAAAGTGCTGGAAGTAGAACTAACTCAAGTACACAGCACCAGCCTTGAGCAAATAAATAAACAAACAAAACTCAAGGATGGCCGGAAATGTGGATTTGTGGTAGCATGCTTGTCTCGCATGGATGAAGCCCTGAGTTTGTTTCCTCAGTAGCTCACAAACAAGAAAAAGCTGGAAGTGGTGCCGTGGCTCAAGCAGTAGGGTGTTAGCCTTGAGCAAAAGAAGCTCAGGGACAGTGCCCAGGCCCTGAGTTCAAGCTCAGTGTTGCCTAAAAAAAAAAAAGAGAGGGGACTCAGAGAAGTCCACCCCAGGAAGGCAACTGACCTGGCGGGAACTCGTTCATGCCTGGCTCCCATGCTGGTCAATGGGATAGCAACATGGGCCCCCAGGGAGATGGTGGGTCCTTGCTGACAGCAGTGGGTGATTTCGGCTGGCGCTCAGGGGTGTCTACCTGTGCAGGGGGAGCAGCTGGCAGTCGCAATGGAGGGGATTTCCGCTGAGGTCAATGAGCTCCAGCTGGCTGAGATTGGGCAGGGCAGGCAGGACTCGAAGTTGGTTCTTCTGCAGGTACAGGCTCTGGAGCCCTGGACCCAGGCCGGAGAAGGCCCTTGGAGATATCTGCAAGGAAGTTCAGGGCCTGGTGTGAGCTTCTGACAGGCTGGCTGGGCCAGGTCTGAGAGAGAGCTCCATCTCCCCTAGGAGAAGAGGACAAGGTGAGGAGTCTGAAGTGGCCCAGGCAGAAAGGGCAATGCTGGGGTCAAAACCCAGGCTGCTCTCATCTTCAAGACACCCAATGCCCAGTTCATCGTTTTTTTCCTGCTCTGTCTGAACTCCACCTCTACAGATTCTCTTGGGCGCTCTCAGCAGTTGGTTGCTGCTCAGGCCCAAATAAACTCCCCCCTCCCTCTCCCATGCTCCAACAGGGCCTCCCCTCCTTCCCGGCTGCCCTTCACTGTGTGGCTCTGGATTCCATCTGCTCTGTCGTCCACACCTGTGCCCTCTAAAGGCAAGAAAAGTGTGTGCTTTATCTCAGGATTTCCATACACAGCCTAAAACCTGGCACCGATGGGCAGTGAATGCATGCATGCCTCCGATGGCTTTATGTTTAGCTCCCTGCCACCCACCCAGCGCCCACCTGCTCCAGGCCACTGCTGTTCAGAAAGAGGTGCTGCAGGGACCTGCCCAGAGGCTCGAAGGCACCATCTTGCAGGGCCCTGAGTGGGTTCCCTGACAGCTGCAGCTCCAGGAGGGCAGGCAGCCCCTCCAAGGCCCGAGTGGGCACCTCTCGCAGCTGGTTCCCATCGAGATACAGCTTCTCCAGCTCCCGAGCCGGCCCTAGCGCCCCAGGAGCCACCTGGGTGATGCGATTTCCACTCAGGTGGAGCCAGCGCAGGGCTCGAGCCGCGGCCAGGTCTCCAGGGGCGAGGCGGTCCACCACGTTGTCCTGCAGGTGCAGGGAGAAGAGGCTGGGCAGGGCGCTCAGGGCGGCCCCTGGCACCTGCTGGAAGCGATTGCGCTCCAAGTACAGGTAGCCGAGGCGCGGGGCCCCTTCGAGGGCCGCCGCGCTAAGCCCCGAGAGCTGGTTGTCGGAGAGGTAGAGGTAGAGCAGGCGATCGAGGCCCGCCAAAGCCCCGGCCTGCAGCTCGGCCACGCCGCAGTGCTGCAGGTGCAGCGACAGCAGGTGGTGCAGGCCCGGGAAGGCGGCGCGGGGCACCAAGGGGAAGTGGTTCCGCCGCAGGTCCAGGAGCTCAGTGCCGTCGGGGAAGCCTCGGGGCACGGCGCGCAGCCCGCGGCCCGCGCAGCCGGCGTGGCGGGACTCGGAGGCGCATGCGCAGACGTCGGGGCACGGCGTGGCGGAGGAGGCCTCCTCCTGCGTCGGGGGGCGCGGGGGGCCTCGGGGTGCCGCCGCCGCCAGGTCCTCGTCCTCGTCGTCCTCCGCGGCCTCCCACGCCGCCTCTCCCGGGCAGCGCAGGTCCGAGGGCCGCAGGGCGTCCAGGGCCTCGGCCCGCAGCCGCCGGGGCCCGCGGCACGCGCCGTCCGCGCGCACGCGCGCGCGCGCCAGCCACTCCAGCAGCGGCCGCGCCTGGCAGCCGCACCACAGCGGGTTGCCCTGCAGCCGCAGGCGGCGCAGCTGGCCCGGGCCCTGCAGCGGGGGCAGCGTGTCCAGCTGGTTCCCTCGGAGGTCCAGGGTGTGCAGGCGCGGGCAGTGGGCGAAGGCCCGGGGCCCCAGCGCCTGCAGGGCCCCGTGATCCAACCTCAGCTCCCGCAGGCCGGGCAGGGCCAGCCCGTCCTCCTCGCCCGTGTAGGTGAGCGGGTTGTGGCCCAGCTCTAGCCGAGCCAGGCTGCGGGCCTGGGACAGGGCGGCCCCGGGCAGCGCCTGCAGCTCGTTGTGGTGCAGGCCGAGGCGGCGCAGGGCGGGCAGGCCGGCCAGGGCCTCGGGCGCCAGCACGCTCAGCGCGTTGTGCGACAGCCGCAGCCAGCGCATGCGCAGCAGCCCCTGGAAGGCCATGGCGGGCAGGTAGACCAGGGCGTTGTGGGCCAGGTTGAGCGTGGCCAGCGCGCCCAGGGCCCCGAACGTCCCCGGCCGCAGCTCCTCCAGCAGGTTTCCCTCCAGCTCCAGCCGCCTCAGCGAGCCCAGCCCGTCCAGGGCTTCCTGGGGCAGCGAGCTCAGGCGGTTGGAGGCCAGGTTGAGGAGGAGCAGGCGGCCCAGGCCCCGGAAGGCGCCTTCGGCCACCAGCTCCACCCCGCAGTGCCGCAGGTCCAGGTGCGTGAGGTGAGGCAGGTCCTGGAAGGCAGCTGGAGGAATCACCTTCAGCATGTTGCCCTGGAGGTCCAGCCTCTGGGTCAGCTGGGGGCGGGAGGGACACATGGCAGATTGGCACAGCACTGTCCTGCTCCTCCCCAAAGCCTGGCGCCCCAGCGCCAAGCACCCCAGCCCTGGGATGAGCTCCCCCCCTCCACATCCTGTCATTCCTGTGCATTTTCCTTCTCCCCTCCCTCTAGCTCATGACTCCATAGGAGGCAGAGACTGCATCCTACCCTGCGCAGCCCCAGTTCGGCCACAGGGCCTGTAAGAATTCATTTGCCTATAAGGTAACTGATATTTCAGTCGCACAGGGATTGTGGGTTATCCGCCATTACTGATTATGCTTCCCATTTTACAGATGTGAAGACGGAATTTGTAGAGCTCTCTCAATCAGATCGGGCTCTATCCTGGGGCTTGAACTGAGCTGTCCTTGAGCTTTATTTGCTCAAGGCTAGTGTCCTACCACTTGAGCAAGAGCTCTGCTTCTGGCTTTTTGGTGGTTAATAAAGAGTCTCATGGACTTTTCTGCCTTAGCTCTCAGCTTCCTAAGTGGCAGAATTACAGGAGCTACTAGCCCCTGGCCAGACCAGGCTCTTGCAACCTCCTTTTCCTCAATGCCAGCCTGTGCCCAGGCTACTGCCCTGCTGACCTCAGGGATGGTACTGGGCACCTCCGTGAGGTTCTGGCGCCGGCAGGCAACGTGCCTCCTGGAGTTGTCACAGATGCAGGTCTGTGGGCAGCGGTGAGCGGCCGTGTGCCAAGCTGGGCCTAGCAGCAGCACCAGCAGCACCAAGGGACCTTGGGTGGAGCTCTGAAGCCTGGGAGAGGGAAGAAGGTGTGGGTTCACTGGAGCGGGGCCCTTAACTAAGCCCCCGCTGCAGTGCGGCTCCCGGCCCAGATTCTACCTTTGGGTCCAGGACAGTAAAGAGTCCTGGCTGGCCCAGGTCCCTCACCCTCGCGCTCCTGTTATCAACTCTGATTTATATGGGAGGAAACGGAAACCCAGAAAATCAGCCTGATGAGTCCTTCTGACTCTGTCGATGAGGATTGACTGGATGTGAGAATGGCTTTGGGGTTCCAAGCACCATCCATCTCTGGTCCAGTCCTTCGCTGCAGGGCCAGCTCTCCCCCCAGCAGAAAGCCCCTAACTTAAGTTGGTAACAGGAGGCTTAGCCCAGATTTCAAGCAACACTGGCAGCCTCGGGGGTGTGGTGTGTGTGTGATTCTGAGTGGACTCACTGGCTGTTCAGAGCCACACTAACATGGCAGGTAAGCAGCCCAGACTTCCTGTTTACTTTCTTGCTTGTTGGTCATGGGGCCTGAACTGGCCCTGAGCTCTTCAGCTCAAGGCCAGCACTCTACCACTTGAGCCACAGCACCACTTCCAGTTTTCTGGTGGTTCATTGGAGGTAAGAGTCTTACGGACTTTCCTGCCCGGGCTGGCTTTGAACTGTGATCCTCAGATCTCAGCCTCCTGAGTAGCTAGGATTTCAGGCGTGAGCCATTAGCGCTTGGCTAATACGTTCTATCTCCCCTCCAATGCAGTGCCATCCGCTGACATGGACTGGGATAAGAGACTGAGGGTTTGGCTTTCAGACTGCACCCTGAGCAAGATGTCCATCTGTCCATCTCCCCACCCATCTGCCCATCATCCACCCCCTTCATGTCACAACTACAGCCACTGCCCGTGCCTTAGGGACACCACTGCCACCATGGCTGACCTCCTTTATGTTCCTCTCATCCCCAGCAACCACAAGGAATTTTTATTTATTTATTTTTGGGTCCGGTCGTGGGGCCTGAACTCTGGGCCTGGGCGCTGCCCCTCAGCTCTTCAGCTCAAGGCTAGCGCTCTACCACTTGAGCCACAGCACCACTTCCAGCTTTTTTTTCTTCTGCTTATGTGGTGCTGAGGAAATCAAACTCAGGGCCTCATGCATGCAAGGCAAGCGCTCTACCACTGAGCCACCTTCCCAGCCCACAAGAATTTTTAGAACACAGATAGGACCCTGACATCTTCAGCTGCAAACCTTCCCGTCTCCTTCAATCTGACTATCAAAAACCCACACTCGTGATTTGGCTGAATCCTTCCCGAGCACATGCAGGCTCTGCTGCTGCTCCACACACTGAGTCCTCTCCTCGCTACCGGGGTCATCTAACTTGCCCAGGTTTTCCTCCTGTTCTCAGCTTGTATCCCACAAGGCCTCCGAGCAGCCTTCCTCCATGCCTGGGCTGTTCGTCTTCCAAACCTCCCCCATTGCTGCTCCCTAGATCGCCACTACCTACTTCTCAATGTCTTTTGGATCCTGGGGGCCCTCCTGCCCCCAGAGCTGAATGGCCTTCTCCAGAGTCTGTGCTCATATCGGAGCAGCGGGAGGGCTCACCAGACAGAGCCCTGAAAGGACAGGAATCCGGGATCCAAAGACCAGTTCTGATCTCTGCTGCAAGGCCTCAATCCACCGGAGCAAGTCCCGGGGACCCATCCCTGGGGGAGATCTTGGACAGTCCCCGGTTCAGGAAACAAAGTCCCTGCCACCAGCCTGAGGCAGAGAAGGCTTCCCTGTTCCTGTGGCCATCAGTGGATCCACAGCTCCTTTGCACCCTTGGGACCCAAAGACTTACCCCTCCATGCTCCCGGGAACTGCCAGCACTGTCCGGAGGCACAGCACAAGGGGAAAGCCAGCGCCGGTCCCTGCCCGGACTCCGGCGAGAGCCCCTCCTTGGCCCACAGGCCTGGCAGCAAGGACAAGGCTGAATGGAAAGCATTGTCAGCAGCCCCGGGCACTGGGGCTTCCCCAGACTGTGGGCAGGGGTGGAAGCAGTGGCTGGCTTTCCAGGGCCTCCTGTCCACTACAGACCCAGCAGCACAGCCCAGGCCTCAATCCTTCGGCTGGCCAGCAGGGCAGAGCCCCTAAGAGCCAGCCTGTGGCTCAGCAGACCTTGGGATTCTCTAGGCTCTGTGGTGTCCTGGGCAGGCTCAGTATGGTTACCAAACCTGTTACCTAATTTCTGAAAAACATCTAATGGGACTGGCATGGTGATGTAGGGAAGACAAACTCTAGGCCAGACTGGGCTGCACAATTAGATCTTGTTCTAAAACAATACTCAGGCAACTTGAGCAACCGTAACTTGTTCATAAGGCTGCCTTAAGGGATAAGGTAAGGAGCTAAGAATGGTTAACCCTTTCTTTTCTGTTTGTGTTTAAACCTATGTGGTTTTTTTTGTTGGTCGTGGGGCTTGAAACTCAGGGCCTGGGCTCTGTCCCTGAGCCTCTCTGTGCTCAGGGCTACAACTCTACCCCTTGAGCCACAGCACCTTTGGCTTTTTGTGTATGTGATAATGAGGAGCGAACCCAGGGCTTCATGCATGCTAGGCCAGTGCTCTACCACTAAGCCACCTTCCCAGCCCAGGTTCTTGGGTTTCTGTGACCCCAGCAGATCCAGGGGCTGTTGCTTGCAAAGCTCGCAAGTTCTGTGAACCAAATCTGGAAAGCATTCAGAGACCTACTAGGGGAGCAGAGCCCAGAGGTTAGATAAGAGGCGAGATGCGGGCAGGCAGGGCTGGCGCCTCCTCAGCACCTCCACCAACCCGTCAGCTGCCCTCACTGCCTCTCCTGACACACTCAGCTAGAAGCGTGGGAGACCAGGGGTGGGGCTGCCCATACACCAGCTCATGCCATAGGGCTGCTGCCCTCAGGCAGGTGGGGGCCGGTATGTGCTGACACACAATAAGGTGGCACTTTAGGTGAAAGAAGGCTCTTGGCCACCACAGCTACCACACGACTTTATTCAAAAGCTCCAGGCACAGCCCAGACACATAGCACAGAGGAAAGCATGAGGTGGTCATGGCCACAAGGGAGGCCACAGCGTGGCCCTTGCCCAGCCCCGATCCCATCCCTCCCCCAACACAAAGGGTCTTTGAGGAGCAGAGATACCGTGCTGTCCTGAGGACTTGCCCGCCTTCCCCAGGCTGGGCTCCGCTGGACACCAGGGCCTGCGCAGCCCTATTCCAGGACCATGTCATGGGGTCAGCCCCCTCCCCCCCCACTCTCCGAGCCTCTCTTCTGGTCCATGAGGTGGCCAGGGATTTGACCACTGCCGACAGCCTTCCAGTCCCCCCAGCAGTCTCTTCTCAGTCCCAGGGGCCAGCACAGCAGGCATGATTGGTGACGAAGGCAGTGGCTGCAGGCCCAGGCTGGATGTGAAACAGCCCAACCACGACACAAAGGCAGGGCACAGGACACGGGCAGCTGTTTTTACTGCAGCCCAGGAGTGGGGCAGGGAGGCGGGGACGGCCACCAGGGCCTCGGGCCTGAAGCAAGTTGTCAGCAGAGCATCCTCGGATGGCGGTGAGTTTAATGGCAAAGCGGCTTGCAGCCCTTTCGTCTGGGGGCCAGCACCCCACTGGGGAGCAGAGCCAGTCCAGCAGGGAGTACTGAACCCCCCCCAATCCCGACAGGAAGCACACACCTGACCGCGCACCCATCCAACACACATCACACACCAGACGAACCCCCTCCCTGCCTCTGGGCGGAGCCTGTCCCAGGGGGTGTGGCTGCGGCTCAGTTCCTCCAGTGTCTCTCCAGTCACAGGTGCAGGCTGAGGGATGAGAAGAGGCTCGCGTGGAGTCTAGACCTTGTACAGTGTCTGTAGCAGATTGTGGCGGGCAAAGGAGCAGGTTTCCAGGGCGCCATTGGGCCTGTGGGGGAGACAGGTGAGTGAGGGGGGCAGACATCCCCGGCCCTGGAGTCCCACCGCCAGCTGGAATGGGGGCATTTCTGGGTCAGACTCATTGTTCTGATTTTCAGGCATTCTACAAGGGAGATAATTTTTGTTATTCTGGAGGCTGACATCTGAGCATCACTGTTCAAAACCAACCAGGGCAGGAAAGACTATGTGACTGTTATCTCTAATTCACCATCAAAAGCCAAAGTGGAGTTGTGGTAGAACGCTAGCCTTGAGCAAAAAAGCTAAACCCTGAGTACAAGCCCCAGTACTGGCACACACACCTGCTTGTGCACCCCTCCCTCCCTCCCCACACACAGTAAGACTCTTCTCACTTGGTCACAAATGCCAGCAGCAGGGGTGCAAGGGCCTTGGGGAAATAATCCTGCTGCACCATGTGATTCAGCGCCATCAGGGGGCCATAGAGATTGGGAATGGCCTTGATCTTATCTTCACTCTGCAAGAACACAGAAAGGGTGGGCAGTCTCCTGTGTTACCTGCACAGCCCTGGATCCCCACCAACTCTGACAAAGCCATGAGGTGGAGGCCTGTTATGAAGACCGCGGCTTCCTCACGTGGGCCTCTGCGCTCCCAGCCTCACCTTGAGTAGACCCATGTGGACCAGGAGCCTGGTGAGGAAGGTGTTGGAGTTGAAGGATGAGCAGCTGAATGCCTTCTTCATGAGCGCATCTGCAAGGGCAGAAGCAAGTGCAGCGGTGTACGTGGATAGGCTCAAGCCCCAGGGCACCCACGCACCTCATGCACACAGGCTTAGCCTCGTCTTCCTGCCACCTTGCCCTAGCAAGAGGTGGGGAGGGACGGTGGAGATGACACAGATACTAGATTAAGGGACAACTGCCAGCCACGAAGGGGGAAGGGCTCACTGTCCCCACCTTGCATCACAGGCTAAAATGGGTGTGGTGAAAGGCCTATACAGTGGGGAAAGCCCAGTGTGTGGAGAGCCCCATTGTGTGAGAGAGAGAGAGAGAGAAGGAAAGAGAGAGAAGCCAAGGGACCAGTTGGGATTGTGCCAGGCTATTTGCTATTCTGTGGAAAAGAATTCAGGCTTCAGCTGGGTGCTGATGGCTCACACCTGTAATCCTAGCTACTCAGGAGGCTGAGATCTGAGGATCATGGCTCAAAACCAGCCTAGGCAGGACAGCCTATGAGACTCATCTCCAATTAACCATCAGAAAGCCAGAAATAGTGCTGTGGCTCAAAGTGGCAGAGTGAAAAGGTTCAGGGATAACGCCCAGGCCCTGAGTTCAAGCCCTATGACCAACAAAAATGATAAAAAAGAAATTCAGGCCTTACAACAATAGAAAAAAAAAAAGAGAGGGAAGAATGCAGGCTTATTTCCACAGATGCTCCTCAGCCTCCCAAAGATGGTTCTAGAGCCTCCTGCCTGGCCATCTTTATGTCACAGAATGGGAAAGGAGAGGGTGGTGCCAATGAAGGAAGCCTCATGAGCGATGTGTTGACCCCCAAGGGCTCAGCCCAAAACTGATAGGATGTGTCATGACTTGAACACAGGACCTTATTATGGCCTTCTAGACAGGCAAGCCCTACACTGATTGCTCCTAGGATGAGCTCTAACAACCTATAGCTACGTGGCTTTGGGAGAGATCTGTTTCCCCAGCTGGAAGCTGACAGCACACAGGCTATTCCATGGCAAAAACCAGTCGATGGAACCCCGGGGGCTCGCAGTGGCTCCACACAGCGTCATCTGTGGCACCAAGCACTGGGGGATGAGCCGCCCAGCCCCCACAGCGCCTGCATTACCTACTGCGTCGTGCACGGCGGCTCTCACAGAAGCTTCATCCTTGAACACGGATGCCACCTTCAGGAAGGCAGACACCACCTTCTCAGGGTCCGATGTGTCAGTCTAACAACACAGAGACAGCAGCTGGTGACAAGAACCAGAGCCCCGGGGCTCACACATGGGGGAGACTGGGGAGAAGAGGTCTTGGCAGAGTATGGGACGTGGGCAGCTAGGGCCAGTTCTCAGCTCACGGCAGGCTCCCCGTGTCTGGCTGGAGTTGCCCACAGCAGGTGGAATGAGTGAATAAGCGTTAGATAGCATGACAGCCAGAGCCTTCCGCTTTGAGCCGAAGAGCTGAGGGACAGCGCCCAGGCCCAGCGTTCAAGCCCCACGACCAGCCACAAAGAAAAAAAAAGGTGGGTGCAGTGGCAGTGTCTATCAAGTCAGCTGTGAGGAAAACGGAAATGAGAGGATCGCCACGCAGCCTGGCATCCAGGCAAAACCCCACTCAAAAATGATAGAAGTTGAAAGGGCTGGCTGCAGGCTTGGCCCTGCCTAGCAAGCTTGAGGCTCCTGAGTTCAAACCCCAGAACTGCCGGCGCCTCTCACCTCCCCCCACAAAAAACTCTCAAAAAACCCCGGCTGGAAGCGTGGCTGCACAGGTAAGAGTGCCTGGCAGCTCTGAGGCCGAGTGCAAACCGACCCAGCGCTTCACGCGCTCTCAAAGTCGGGGCAGCTCAGGCCCAACTGACGGCATCCGGGTGGCTCGAGACTCAGCCCTTTGCTGGGGCGACACGCGCAGGGCCGGGGGTGGTCGAGGCAGCCTTACCTGCTGGGCTATCAGCACGGAGCCCTTGGGCCCGAGGCGCAGCAGTTTCTCCGGGGAGGGGAATGCCAGGAAGGTGGGCACGTCTGTGGGGGGTGGCGAGGACAGCACGGGGGCCGGCTCCTGAACAACACACACAGCCGTCCTAAGGACCCTCAAGCCCAGAACCTTCCTCCACCCTCCCCTCGCCCGAGCCCGCTGGGGTCGACGTGTAGAATTATCACTCCCAGCCGGGCACTGAGGGCTCACGCCTGGAATCCTAGCTACTCAAGAGGCAGAGCTCTGAGGATCATGGCTCAAAGCCAGCCCGTGCAGGAAGTCCATGAGACTCTTATCTCCCCTAAACCACCAGAAAACTAGAAATGGCCCTGTGGTTCAAGTGGTAGAGCGCTCGCCTTGTGCGGAAGAGCTGAGGGACATTCGTGCCCAGGCCCAGGGTTCCAGCCCCATGACCGACCAGAAAAAAATTACAAATAAAAATCACTTGCTGCTAAGTGCAGCCTCCAAAGGAGTGGGGTGTCTACAGATGCTGGTGCTGACTCCTGGCCCTGGAGCCTTGGGGGTGCAGGGTAAGCCCCTCCCCAGGACTTCAAGGTGCTCTTCATCATGCCACACAATGCCGCAGTGATGGCGTACACGGGGGCTAAACAGACCATTAGGAACCGCAGTATAGTTTGGGTGCCTGCAAGCACCAAGCAAACACCCACATCTGAGAAGTGCCTTGCTCTTCCAGCTTTGCAGACCAGAGAAGCCCAAAGCAACGTGAGTGGGGTGTTCTGAGAGCTTTCTTTAGGATCTTGGATGATGGATGAGTCGGGGAACACCAAATCAATCTGTCACAGTCATGGCCAGTTCAGAAGTGGGCTGGGGCACTGTCCCTGACTCCTTTGCTCAAGGCTAGTGCTCTACCACTTGAGCCACAGCATCGGTTTCAGCTCTGAGTAGGTCACCGAAGAGCCTCAGAGGCTCTTCTTGGCTTCAAATCGTGATCCTCAGATCTCAGCCTCCTGAGTAGCTAGCATTACAGGAGTAAGCCACCAGCACCAGGCTGTTATTTTTTTTTCTTCCACTACTGAGAGTTTAAAATTCTGGGCCTAATTACTAGTAAGCAAGCACTCTGATCACTGAACCATGCCTCCAGACCTTACAATGTTGCCTATATACATACTATGTACCTATGTACAGTTGCATTACAAAAGTGAATAAACAAGCCGGCACCAGTGGCTCATGCCTGTAATCCTAGCTACCCAGGAGGCTGAGACTGAGGCTTGCACTTTGAACCCAGCCCGGTAAGAAAGTTGGTGAGAATCCCATCTCCAGGAAACGTAGAAATAGAGCTGTGGTTCAAAGTGGAGAGAACTAGCCTTGAGCAAAAAGAACTCAGGGACAGCGCCCAGGCCCTGAGTTCAAGCCCCATGACTGACAAAATACAAAAGAGAACTCACCCCACTGTTGGGGTCCAGAATCTTCCGTGGGGTGGCTGACTCCTCTCCTCGCCCTTCCTGCTGCGCTTCTTCCTCATCATCTTCCTCCTCTTCGTCCTCTTCCTCCTCCTCCTCTTCCTCGTCCTCTTCTCCCTCCTCCTCGTCGTCTTCCTCATCATCCTCGCCCTCATCATCACTGCGGAGAGGAGCGGGCTCTGTGAGACCCTCCCTGCCACGTGGCCCAGGCTAGCTCAGAGGGACGAGGGGGGGGCCTGCGCCGAGGGAGCACGAGGATCAGCAGGGAGCACATCACTCATTCTCTCATTGTCCAGGGAGGCCACGCTGCGGGATGGACCCTGTCCCGAAAGCCCCAGATCCCCGTGGATGTGGAGGAAAGGATCCGGGAGAAGTGGCAGGCTGAGCTGTCCACAGCAGAGCCACGCAAGCTCACGTCACAGGAGAGCTGTGTGTGGAAGGAGAAGGCGGAGGACTCCTGCCTGGAGGAAAGTCATTCCCGTTGCTCTTCACTGTGCGCACTGGAGGCTTGGACCCGCGGAGCCCCGCCGACATGGCACACCCCGCAGTTCTCACTACCTCTTTCTTTCTAGTCAGTCTCTGGAGAACAACACAAACCTGCCCTCTGGCAGGTCAGGCCTCACCCCCACCCTCCAGACCTGCTGTTTCCTATGTCAGGATCAGACCCCACACCAGCTTTCCTGCCCTGCGTGCGCGCGCGCACACACACACACATTTTTCTTGTCCATTATGGGTCTGGAACTCTGGGCCTGGGCGCTGTCCCTGAGCTCTTTAGCTGAAAGCCACCGCTCTACCACTTGAGCCACAGCACTACTTCCGGTTTTCTGGTGTTCACTGGAGATAAGAGTCTCTTGGACATTCCTGCCAGGCTGACTTTGAACTGTGATCCTCAGATCTCAGCCTCCTGAGTAGCTAGGATGACAGGCGTGAGCCACTGGCGCCTGGCTCATTTCTATCTTGCTGTCTCAGCCTTTTCACCCTAGCACTTGCTACAGGTGTCTTAAGTGTTACAGGAAGACAGAGCAATATGGGAGGCCCAGGGACTTGAGATGGGTCCCCGCCTCACTGGTCCTGGTTGTATATAATCTGGGTTCTAACAGGTGTTCCAGGAGTGATGGAGAGCAAGAAAGGGAGATGACACACTGGGGCCTTCTCGTGCTTGAGGCTTTCTCCTGTGAGTCAAGGAGCCAGGGAGGGTTGTAAGCAATGGAGTGATGTGTTTGATTTACGCTTCAGAATTCTGGCCAGAACAAGGGACACAGGTGGTGGTGACTGAGCCAGGGGCCCAGGACGGGAGTGACAAGAGCTGATGAGATGTGGCGCTGGCTCGGGACGTCACTGCTAACGCCACCAGGGCTGCTGGGCCTCTGACCTTTGCTTCCACACAGACCTGAAAGACCTTGAGCTCAACCCACAGACTCTGGGCGAGAGAGAGAGAGGGAGGAGAGACAGGCGCGGCGGCCGCTCCTTACCTGAGGGAAGCCAGCACTTTGGTCATGTTGAAGCCATCCAGGACCTCCTGAAGCTGCTCGCAGCCCTCTTCTCCCAGGGCATTGCCTGTTCCAGGTAGGAGGGCGGTGAGGGTGGAGTTGGGTGGGGTGGGCAGGGCAGGGGGGCTGAGGGACACCCCCCCCCCTACCATTGAGATCCAGCTTCTCCAGCTCCATCTTGTCCGCCACAGCCTCAGCCACGGCCAAGGCCGCATCTCTCTTGATCTCACAGAAGGACAGGTTCAGCTCCTGAGAGCAGAAGGTCAGGGTGAAGGGAGGGAAGACCTGGCTGTCCCACAGGAGGGTAGGTATGGGCAGAAAGGTAGGCCTCCAACAATCAAAACAATACCAGGGCTGGGCATTGGTGGCTCACGCCTGCCATCCTAGCTACTCAAGGAGGCTGAGATCCGAGGATCGCATTCAAAGTCACCTCAGGCAGACAAGTCTGAGATTCTCATCTCTAATTAGCCAGCAAAAAGCCAGAAATGGAGACATGGCCCAAGCACCAGCTATGAGACAATAAGCCAAGCGAGAATGTGAGGCGCTCAGTTCAAGGCCCTGGACTTACAGAAAACTTTACAGCAACTAATGGTAGACACCACCACTCCTGTTTTTCTTGGGTCTTGAACTTTGGGCCTGGGCGCTGTCCCTCAGCTCTTCAGCTGAAGGTGAGAGCTCTACCACTTGAGCCACAGCGCCACTTCTGGTTTTCTGAGTGGTTTATTGGAGATAAGAGTCTCATAGAACTTTCCTGTTGTGGCTGGCTTTGAACCACGATCCTCAGATCTCAGCTTCCAGAGTAGCCAGGATGACAGGTGAGAGCCACCCGCGCCCGGCTACACACCTCCTGTTTTTAACATGAAGAAACTGGCTCAAAGGGGTGAAGAGACGCAAATATCATACAAGTAGAGGTGCTGGAATTATCCAGGCTCACCTGCCTGTAGACCAGACCCTCAGCTGCCAGGTCCTCCCTCCACAAGCAGGAGGCCTGCACACGAGAGAGCAGCTCCAGTCAGAACCACCGCTCACCTTCAGCTTCGGCAGGCCCCCACGGACGGCGTCTGCAATGGCCACGGCGCCCTTGGAGCGCACCAGGCAGTCCCCGAAATTGATCACCTCCACCTGCCTCAAGGTCTTCAGGGTCTGTGTGGAAGCAAGGGGCAGAGGCTAGGGTGTGGCCTCAGCCCGAAGCCCTAGTGATGTCATCAGGGATGCCCACACACTGTTTTCTGTGTCCCGTGTCACCTCTACGTCTCATCAGCTCTTGTCACGCCCTTCCTGGGCCCCTGGCTGAATCATCACCACCTTGTGCCCCGTGTTCTGGCCAGAATTCTTCCTGAAGCATAAACCCAACAGATCACTCCATTGCCTACAACCCTTCCTTGCCTCTTCTGACTCACAGGAGAAAGTTTCAAAACCGAGAAGGCTGGCTGCAGCCCCCAGGCAGCCACCGGGGAGCAAGAGGCTGCAGGGACAGGCACTGGGGAGCTGAGACCCCGTGGATGCATGCAAATGAGCTGGGGGTGAGGAGGCGGGGCATCACAGCCCCGCCCCGGTGCTGAGCCAGGTCCAGCCCTCCAGCGTGGCCTCACCTCAGCCATGGCCACGGCGCCTTTCTCAGTGAAGGTGTTGTCATTTAGGTTGATGACCCGCAGCAGGGGGTTAATGGCGAAGGCCTGGGCCAGCGCTGTGACGCCAGGGTGGTTGATCCCATTCTGTGGCATGTGGACCTCCTCCAGAGTCCCAATAATCTGCAAGGACACAAGGAAGGGGCGGGAGGCAGGCACTAAGTGGTGTCCAGCGGGCAGGAAAGCCGCACGCACCGGCACGTAGACAGCCACCTGCACTGGCCTGGAGCATGCTGGGGTCTCAGGAGAAAAGTCAAAACCTTCGTTTGCTTTTCTTCCTTTCTGTTGGTCAGTCATGGGGCTCAACCTCAGGGCCTGGACGCTGTCCCTGAGCTTTTCTGCTTGAGGCTAGGACGCTATAACTTGAGCCACAGTGCCATTTCCAGTTTTCTGAAGGTTAACTGGAGGGAAAGAAGAGTCGTAGGGGGCTGGGAAGGTGGCTCAGTGGTAGAGTGCTTGCCTAGCATGCATGAAGCCCTGGGTTTGATTCCTCAGTACTACATACACAGAAAAAGCTGGAAGTGGCACTGTGGCTCAAGTGGTAGAGTGATAGCTTTGAGCAAAAGAAGCTCAAGGACACTGTCCTTGAGTTCAAGCCCCAGGACTGGCAAAGAGAGAGAGAAAAAAAAGCGTCTCATTGAACTGTGATCCTTAGATCTCAGCCTTCTGAGTAGCTAGAATTACAGTGTGTACCACTGTCCCTGATTTTTGTTGTTGTTTGGGTTTTCTTTTGCTTAAGACTACTGCCCTACCACTTGACTTTTTGTTTGTTTGTTTGTTTTTTTTTGATCCGGTCGTGGGGCCTGAACTCTGGGCCTGGGCGCTGTCCCTCAGCTCTTCAGCTCAAGGCTAGCGCTCTATCACTTGAGCCACAGCGCCACTTCCGGCTTTTTGTTTTTTCTTTTTGCTTATGTGGTGCTGAGGAACCAAACCCAGGGCCTGGAGCATGCAAGGCAAGTGCTCTATCACTGAGCCACCTTCCCAGCCCTTGATTTTTTGTTTTTAAACCACTTCTGGCCAGCACCGGTACACAACACAACACACACACACAGACACACACACACGTGTAAACAGCTGGTTTTGTATTTACATGGAGCTTACACTAGGGTACCAACAGCATTCTGAGCATTGAACATCAGAAGAGAGAGAGAAAAAACAGAAAAGAGCAAGGACATCATTAATGAATGCTGCAAGTGCCGGGTGCCGAGGGCTCCCGCCTGTAACCCTAGCTACTCAGGAGGCTGAGGTCTGAGGATCGTGGTTCAAAGCCAGTTGGGGCAAGAAATCCATGAGACTTTTATCTCCAATAAACCACCACAAAAAGCCAGAAGTGGCTATAGCTCAAGCGGTAGAGTGCTAGCCTTGAGCACAGAAAAGCTCAGGACGTTGCCCAGGCCCTGAGTTCAAGCACCAGGCCAGGGGAAAAAAAAAAAAAGACGGCTACAGATGGCCCCTGGGCAGCTGTGTGCGCTTTGTCTCCGCCCTGTGGTCTCACTGTCCGGGCGCCTGCCCTGTCTGAGTGCTACGTCCCAGGGGGTAAACCCCACACCACCTGCTCACAGGAGATCTGGCCATTACAGGACAAGGTACCAGTCCTCAAGAGGGCAGGAGACTAGCCCTGGGTCTCTGAGCTGAGGGGAGGCGCTGGGATTCACACCCAGGACAGGTGGCCTGCGCCACACCGTCTGCCTCTGTGCTCAGCAGTCAGGGTAGAAAAAAATCGACTTACACCAAAGGCTTCCGCCAATGCAGTGGCACCATCGTTCTCCAGACGGTTCCTGCCAGCCACGAAGACCTTCAGGGCCAGCGGCTTGCCTTGGGCGCTGGACTTCCGGTGGCACTCCGTCAGAGCTGCTGCCAGGATCTGTGGCAAAGGTAAGGGGGATGCAGGGCGTGGCGGGAGCCCCCCCAGCTCCCCAGCGAGCCACACTTCCCCACTGGTGGCCAAGGAAGACTCCCAGGTCGGCCCCTGACACAAGACCTCTGCTGGGCAGGCCAGGCGTTCTAGTTCAGGTGCAGAAACTCAGTCTCACTGGGCGCTGGCACACGCCTGTAATCCCAGCTACTCAAGAGGCTGAGATCTGAACACTGCAGTTCAAAGCCAGCTTGGGCCCCAAACTCCGGAGACTCTTATCTGTAAGTTGCCACAAAAAAACCAGGCGAGGAGTCGTGCGGGGAGAGAGCTAGCCTCGAGTAACAAAGCTACAGGGCAGCACCTGGACCCTGAGTTCAAACTGTAGAAGCAGCATGAGAAAGAAAAAGAACACGAGGACAAAAGAGACTGGATCTTAGATGCACACAAACTGTTTTGAGACAAGGCCTTAAATTCTCAGTCCTTCTGCTCTCGCCTTCTTTCCCCTTTCCTTTTCTCTCCCCTTCCTCCCTGTCTTCTTTCCTTCCTTTCATGTGCGTGTGTGTCACACGGGTGCTTAAATTCAAGGCCTGGTTGTTGTCTTTTAGCGTTTTGCTAAAGAATGGTGCCTTCTCACTTGAGCCACAGCTCCATTTCTGTTTGTTTTTTGTCAGTGTGAGGGCTGAACCCTGGGCCTGGGCTCTGTCCTTCAGCTTAAGGCTAGCGCCCTAACACTTGAGCCACAGCGCCACTTCTGTTTTTTTTCTGCTTATATGGTGCTGAGGAATTGAACCCAGGGCCTCAGGCATGCAAGGCAAGCGCTCTACCACTGAGCCACCTTCCCAGCCCTAGATCTCAGTCTTGAGTAGCTAGGATAACAGGCGCAAGCCACCATGCCCCCCTCCCCCATCTCGTCACTACCCTTTCAATGCAATGAATATAATAAACATCTTTACAAAGGTGTCCTAGGTCCCCAGCGCTTTCCCCCCTGCTCCGAACACATGAGTGTGAGGCTAGTGCTGACACTCAGGTTCCACTCTGGCTGCAGGAAGCCTGGACAGAGGGCTGGGAATGAGGAGGACCAGCCTCCTCAGTGCCCCTCTGGTAAAGTGCAGGACCAGCACCCAGGGCAAGGCTCTTTTAGGGAACAAAGGCGAGCACTGACCATCCTCCCTGAGCAGCAGGCTTTGCTGACATCTTTTCTTTTCTTTCTTTTTTTTTTTTTTTTGGGTGGGGGGGTCTGGTTGTGGGAACTGAACTCTGGGCCTGGGCGCTGTCCCTCAGCTCTTCAGCTCAAGGCTAGCGCTCTACCACTTGAGCCACAGTGCCACTTCCGGCTTTTTTCTTTTTGCTTATGTGGTGCTGAGGAATCCAACCCAGGGCCTCATGCATGCAAGGCAAGCGCTCTACCACTGAGCCACCTTCCCAGCCCTTGCTGAGATCTTTTCTCAGCCTGGCTCTGGCCAGTTGTTCGGTGTGACAGGAGGGACAGAGATGCCTCAACTCGGCATCTTTCGGTGCCAGCAGGTTATGCAGCAGCACTATCTTGAGTTGCCAAGCCAACGAAATAACTTGGGATGGTTGCTTGGCAACCCCACCCTCCCGGACTCCTCCTCCCTTCTGACTAGTGTGCTGCCTCTGAGGCCTCTGTCCTTTGAAGAGAAAGGAAGACAAGGGGGGCACCAAGTTAGGTGTAGGTGCAGGAGGGACGATGCAGGGGCGCCAACTCACCTTGCCACCACCAATGCCCATGCCACAGTTGTTAAGCTTGAGTTCGTGCAGGGTGAAGCAGGCAGGGCTCTTGAGCAGAGCCTCAAATCCACGTACACCATCAGGCCCGAAAGCATTGTCACTTAGGTCTAGTTCCACCAGCTGGGCTCCTGCGGTGATGAGACCCTCCCCTAGTGAGATCTGGAAGAGGAAGCTCAGGTCAGTCTCCCAGACACATGCCAAATGCTTCTATGATAGGCCTAGCCCTGCCACCAGGAGGCACTACCTCCATGCTAGGCCTCGCCTTGCCACCAGAGGGCACTGCTTCTATGCTAGGCCCAGCCGTGCCACCAGAGGGCACCGAGGTACAAAGGCATTTACAGCAGTTTTATGATGTTCCCACATTGGAAACATGGAAGACCACTGTCCACAATGTGCATGTGCCCATCTGGAATGCTTCCTGTAGGAGGTGGCATCTGAGCTTAGTGTGAACAAGGGCTAGCATGAAAGAAATTCCAGGTAGCAGTAAAAACTAGAGCAGAAAGATTACCAGCATGACGTAGTAGGTAACAGGCAGAAGGCAAGCCAGGGGTCAAAATCAGGCAAGAGCCTTGAAGACGAGGACAAGGTCTGTACCCCTAAGCTGAGAACACACATTTGGACGTCACTAGCTGGCAAGGAAGCGAGGTCCTAGGAACCCAGGAGCCGGGCAGGAGGAGGCTGGTGGCCACCCACAAGTATGATGTGGGCAACAGACGAAGCCAGGCAGTATGGGCAGAAGCAGGTGAGGAGCAGTCTGTTCAGGAAGGCAGGGTAACGTGCTGGAAGTGGGGGTACCCTAGAAGGACAGGACAGAGGGAGGCCCCACAAATGACCCTAGGACTTGGGCATCATCTGGGAAGATGGATGTGGCAGGAAGCAGGTTTGGCAGAGCTCTGTGCAGCTGGATCTGTCTCAAGCTCCCTCTGCCCCTGGAAGAAACAGGCCAGAGGGGAGAGGCTATCTGTGGAGATGAGGAAACGGGGAGATGACACAAATGGGAGAGGGGTCGTCAGCCAGTCTGTGGATCACTCAGTGGCTGAAGCCGTTTCTCTATCCTCCACCACTGTGTGAAGCAGGCAAGGCTCCCTTCCCCCGCCTCCTCTAGTCAGGCCCCGCAGAGTCCCAGACAGCAGGCGGCACAGCTGGTTCACTGTGCCCTCTCCTCCCGCATCCTGCCCCCGCCTGGCCCCAGGTTCTCTTCCCTTCCTTCCTCAGATTCATTGTGATCAGCAGGACATGAAGCAAATGAATGCTACAACTGGCATGAGCCAACTAGGCTTTCCTTCTGCCCTCCCTCCATCTGCTCCCCTGAAATCAACCGCCCAGATTTCCTTAACGTGTATTTTGAATCCTAGCTTTATTGGGTTTTTCTTTGGTCAGTTGTAGGGCTTGAACTCTGGGCCTGGGCGCTGTCCCTCAGCTCTTCAGCTCAAGGTGAGCGCTCTACCACTTGAGCCACAGTGCCACTTCCAGTTTTCTGGTGGTTTATTGGAGATAAAAATCTTATGGACTTTGCTGCCCAGGCTGGCTTTGAACCTCACTTCTCAGATCTCAGCCTCCTGAGTAGCTAAGATTACAGGCGTGAGCCACCAGCACCTGGTTACTGGGTCTTTTTCTTTTTCTTTTTCTTTGTCGGTTATGGGGCTTGAACTCTGGGCTGAGCACTGTCCCTCAGCTCTTCAGTTCAAGGCGAGCGCTCTACCACTTGAGCTACAGCGCCACTTCCAGTTTTCTGATGGTTTATTGGAGATAAGTGTTTCACAGCTTTTTCCTGCCTGGGCTGGCTTTGAACTGAGATTCTCAGATCTCAGCCTCCTGATTACAGGCATGAGCCACCGGTGCCCGGCTCTTTTTCTTCCTTCAAGGCTGGGCACTAACACCACCAGCACTCAGAGGGGCGAGACCCCGCCAGGAGACCCTTGTCCAGTATCATGAAAGCCCGGCCCCCTGGGTGGCCAAGTGTCTGCTGGGAGGAGGTGCACACACATCTCTGGAACCCATGTGGTTGGAAGAATGAAGACCTGAGGAGGCCCCAACATGACCGGAACCGTGAACACTGAACGCCTGTGTCTGGCTGGCCCAGGCTGGGAGGGTGGCCGTGCCATCAGGTCCTGGTCTACTGTGTTTCCCCTTCCGTACATAGAATCTGGGGACGCGAGCCTAGCCAAAACTGAGGCCCTAGGAATGAAGAACTAAAACAGCAAAGCAGAGGGCTGGGAAGGTGGCTCAGTGGTAGAGTGCATGCCTTGCATGCATGAGGCCCTGGGTTCGATTCCTCAGCACCACATAAGCAAAAAGAAAAAAGCCGGAAGTGGCGCTGTGGCTCAAGTGGTAGAGCGCTAGCCTTGAGCTGAAGAACTGAGGGACAGCGCCCAGGCCCAGAGCTCAGGCCCCACGACCGATTAAAAAAAAAAAAGAAGAAGAAGCCAAGCAGAGGAGAGTCACCCACGATGAGAAGCAAGGAGTATGTGTTTGGGGGGATGACTAGAGAGGTGCATGAGGGAAAGGGTGGTGGAAGGGATAAAATCTAGCCAAGGAAGGAGCCCTGGGCGGAGGCAGGGCGGGGCTAGCGGCTGCCCAGCTTCCCATGCAGCGTCTCATCTTAAGCCTCCATGAAGGGACGTGGGCCCAGTGTGGGTGCCTCGGGGAGAGCAGCTGATTCTTACCAGGGCTGGTGGGATCTCAGAGCGCAGCCTCCCGGTGAACATGTCGCTCCAGTGGCATCGCTGCGGAGGAAGGAGAAGGTGAGCCGGAGACCCAGAGGTGACACGAGCCACAAACACCAACTTCATCTCTTGCCTTCTGAACCCAGGGAGAGTTGGGCTCAGGCTTGGAGCTAGAGGTGGCAAGCGTTAAAACTCACCACACCAGGGGCCAAGCCTGGTACTGTCTACCTGTCATCTCATCTGCTAGAGACACACTGAGCTCAGGCTCCTATAAAACAGTCCTGTGCAACTGAAATCATCCCTGCTGAACTTCAGCTCCTCTGAGAAAACAGGGGCTGGGAATGTGGCTTAGTAGTCGAGTGCTTTGCCTAGCATGCATGAAGCTCTGGGTTCAATTCCTCAGTACCACATAAAGAGAAAAAGCCATAAGTGTTGCCATGGCTCAAGTGGTAGAGTGCTAGCCTTAAAAAAGGAAAGAAAAGAAGCTCAGAGGCAGTGCCCAGGCCGAGTTCAAGCCCTAGAACTAGCAAAAAAAAAAAAGAAAATGGAGACACACCCAATGCCTTAAAGTAGGGGTGATTAGTTAAAGGATTAAAGAAGAATGGAAAACCCAGACCCAACCCTACACAGATTTCCTGTCTAGAAAACAGGTCTTTCTTCTTCAGACATAAATATGCTAATACCCCAGGGATTCTAGAAGGAAAGGAACGCTGACATTTTGTATATGCTGCTACTTTTCTTCTTCTTTTTTTTTTTGGTTGGTCAAAGGGCTTGAATTTGAGCCCTGGGCATTGTCCTCCAGGTCTTTTTGCTTAAGGCTAGAGCTCTACTACTTTGAATCAGTTTGCCACTTCCAATTTTCTGGTGATCTCATGGACTCTCCTGCCTGGGCAGACTTTGAACTACAATCCTCCAATCTCTGCCTCCTAAGTAGCTAAGGATTACAGGCGTGAGCCACCGGCACCTGACTGCAGCTGCTTTCCTTATAAAGCATGCTGACATAGTCAGTAGAACCCACTTGAGGATAAGAGTCTGAAAACCCTTTGTATTTGCCAAGAAAGGGGTAGCAACCAGAACTAATCTTTAGGAAAGAATAGGGAAGAAAGGAGAGATGGAGGGAAGGAGGAACAGATGAAGGGAGGAAAGGAGAGATGGAGGGAGGGAGAGGGGAGGGAGGGATGGAGAAAACCTGCCTCAGCTGTGCAGTGGTTAGCTGTGTCTCTATTACCTTCCCAGAACTGCACCACGGGAATGGAGGCCAGGGCATTTTTGTCTAACCAGAGACTACAGCAGGCGATCATCCACGCTGGTGTGTCTGTAGAGCGGCCTCAGCCAGGAGGGCTAGCCAGTGGCTAGCACTGGTGGCTCATCCTATAATCCTAGCTACTCAGGAGGAAAATCGCAGTTCTAAGCCAGCCCCGGCAGGAAAGTCTGGGACTCGTCTCCAATACACTATTTGGAAATAGCCAAAAGTGGAAGTGGCGCTGTGGCTCAAGTAGTAGAGCGCTCACCTTGAGCTGAAGAATGAAGAGCTCAGGGACAGCGCCCAGGCTCAGAGTTCAAGCCCCATGACTGACTAAAAAGAAAAAAAAAAAGAAAAAGAAAAGTGACGCTGTGCCTCAAGTGAAGCTCAGAGACAATTTCCAGGCCTCAAGTTCAAGCCCCAGGATTGGCACAAAAAGAACAATATAAAACAAAGGGAGAGCAGCCAGTCCTAAGTCCAAGACTCAACAGGGACAAAAACAACAACAAACAGCCAACAAAGCCCACGAGTGAGCACTGAGGACGGATCTCCTCAGTTTGTCTTTCCCAAATGTCACCCCAAGCTACTGCCATTTACTGACCCCACCCAAACGTCTGCTCGCTGCCTACAGGTCTAGGGGCCAGGAGAGTGCTGTGAGCCCTCTGGGGGCCTAGAAAGAGGGGGTGAGGAACAGTGGGGTTTGGGAGTGGAGACGCAGGCAGGAGCGGTGCAGTGTGGGAAACCTGCCCCTGTGCCCCTGCGCGTCTTACCTTCAACTCCGACTTCTTCTCTAAGGCCTTGGCGATGACCCTGGCTGCTTCCACGCCCACGGTGTTGCCCTCCAAGCGCAGAGCCTCCAGGCCGTCGAACTCTTCAATTTCTTTAATCACGTCTTTAGCTGTCCAGAGCCAAAGAACAACCAGAACCTCAGATTCATTGGGGGGGGGGGGGGGGGGGGGGCAGGGTAGAGCAGGACAAACACGTCACGCACACAACAAGGCTTGCAGTGTACCACAACCTGGATCCTAATGTGACAGGAGAAGCCACCAGGCTCACAGCCTAGTGGGGGCTACGCAGCCAATTCCTATACAATGACCATTACAACACGCTGTGTGTAAAAGGCTAGGGACCCGAGAGAAGGAGAAGCTGCTTGCTTGGAACAAAGGTGATTTCACCAAGTCCATGGTGTGCGGAGTCTCCACACACGGGGAAGGCCCCAGGGTAAGTAGGAGAATGGCACCGAAGTCCGAGGGCTAGCAGCCACATGACACAAGGGCCTTCTTTTTTTTGGTCCTTCGTGGGGCCTGAACTCTGGGCCTGGGCACTGTCCCTCAGCTCTTCAGCTCAAGGCTAGCACTCTACCGCTTGAGCCACAGCACCACTTCCGGTTTTCTGGTGGTTCATTCGAGATAAGAGTCTCATGGACTTCCCTGCTGGGCTGGCTTTGAACTGTGATCCTCAGATCTTAGCCTCCTGAGTAGCTAGGATTACTGGCGTGAGCCACCAGCACCTGGCTTTAACTATCTGTTTTATAATGATGAAAAACTCAGGAAGTGGAACTGTGGCTCAGGTGGTAGATCACCAGCCTTGAGGGAAAAAGCTAAGTGAGAACAGGAGGTCCTGAGTTCAAGCCCCAGTACTTGCAAAAAAGAAGAACTTCAAACTCCATGCATGTACACTGAGGGAAAGGGCAGTCACGGTGGGAAATAGCAATGCAGATCCCATTATAAGTGGTGACACAGATTTTTCTTGACTTGGGAATAATCATTTTATAGTACAGTATAAAGTGATCATGCTTAACATGTATGTAGGAATCTAGGTACTGGTAGTCTCACCTGTAATTTTTTTTTTTTTGGGTCGGTTGTGGGGCCTGAACTCTGGGCCTGGGCGCTGTCCCTCAGCTCTTTAGCTCAACGCGAGCACTCTACCACTTGGGCCACAGCGCCATTCCAGCTTTTTCTGCTTATGTGGTGCTAAGGAATCGAACCCAGAGCCTCATACATGCAAGGTAAGCCCTCTACCACTGAGCTACTTCCCTGCCCTCACCAGTAATATTAACTACTCAGGAGACTGAGATCTGGGAGTTAGTTTGACGTTAGCCCAGGTAGTAAAGTCCAGGAGACTCTTATCTCCAATTAACCAGGAAAAAAAAAAAAAAGCCAGCAGATGCTAGGCACTGGCGGCTCATACCTTTAACCCTAGCTACTCAGGAGGCTGAGAGCTGAGGATCGTGGTTTGATGCCAGCCCAGGCAGGAAAGTCCATGAGACCCTTATCTTCTGCTCAAAAAAGTCTAGAAGTGGAGCTGTGGCTCAAGTGGTAGAGCACTAGCCTTGAGAAACAAGCTCAGGGGCAGCGCCTAGGCCCGAGTGCAAGCCCCAGTATTTGTACTAAAAGAAAAAATAGTTTCCTTTAAAAAAAAACCAAAAAGCAGGACTCCATCTTTCTTCCTGCCCTCCTCTCTTCATCCTCCACCCTTCCCTCTCCCTGAAGCATGTCCTCCCCTCCTCGTCCCTGGCCTGCCCAGGTGCAATCTCTATTGTGCAGGCTTCCTGGCCCCTTCACCTGTCCAGGGCATTTCTGCTACAATATTAACATTACCCATTTACGTGAATGCCTATTTGATTATTACACCATCTTCCTCACTAGATCGGTGTCAAGACCAGCCCATAGCAGGAATCTAAGTGCTTTATATACATTCCCCACGCCCCTAAAAACATAGTAACCATTACGTCCAGTTTAGAGTGGAGTGATCTGAGACACAGAGGCAAGGAGGTCACGCAGCTGGCACTGATTACCCTGTTTCAGGAGAAGCCAAGGCTGGGCAGGTTTGCACCTCCTAATGTTAGAAGAGGAAGCTGAGATTTCAGAGAATGATTAACTAAGAGTTGTGGGGAAATAAATGGCATAGCAAGCTTCACCTTGACTTTCCCCAATGGGCTGCTCTCACCAAACTCTTCTCTTCCCTTGTGTCCCATTCTGCCCCAGCCCCTTTTCTTTTCTTTTTTTGGGTCCGGTCGTGGGGCCTGAACTCTGGGCCTGGGCACTGTCCCTCAGCTCTTCAGCTCAAGGCTAGCGCTCTACCACTTGAGCCACAGCGCCACTTTCCGGCTTTTTTCTTTTTTGCTTATGTGGTGCTAAGGAATCGAACCCAGGGCCTCATGCATGCAAGGCAAGCACTCTACCACTGAGCCACCTTCCCAGCCCCACCCAGCCCCTTTTCTGAATCTGGCTCCCTTGGGTCAGGGCTAGGTGATCTTGCTGCCCACTGGAAGCCACAGTCCAAAAGGTGGTCCCTGCCTAATGTTCAAAGATGGGCCAAGTAGACAAGGGGAGAATGCTTCCAGGAGAGTCCAAACAGTGAGGAGATACAATCAGAGAGCCAGGAAAGCCTTTGCTTATGCTGCATGAATGACTTAGGAGCACAGGGACTGGACACCACAGGTTCAGCTTGGAGAAGTCACCAGGACAGGTCAAGTTAGGAAGGCCCCCATCAAACTGGGAGAGCAAGGCTAGGAAGGAGGGGTCACAGGTACACAGGCCACTCCCTGTGGTTTTCAATCCAAGCAGAGCTACACCACTGAAAAACACCACTCCTGCTGGGCGCTGGTGTTTCACACCCATAATCCTAGCTACTCAGGAGACTGAGATCTGAGGATGATGGTTCAAAGCCAGCCCCCTTACCAGGAAACCAGAAGTGGCACTATGGCTCAAAGTGGAAGAGCACTAGCCTTGAGTAAAGAGAGCTCAGGGTCAGCGCCCAGGCTCTGCTTCAAGCTCTACAACTGACAAAAAATAAATCAAATAAACCAGGCTGGGAAGGTGGCTTGGTGGTTGGGTGCTTGCTTGGAATGTATGAAGCCCTGGGTTCGATTCCTCAGCACCACATCCACAGATGTGGCACTGTGGCTCAAGTGGTAGAGTGCTAGCCTTGAGCAAAAAGAAGCTCAGGGACAATGCCCAGGCCTGAGGTTCAAGCCTCCAGACCGGGGAAAAAAAAATCAGTTCTCCCTGGGTGCTGCTGGCTCCAGCCTGAATCCTAGTTACATAAGAGGCTGAGACTGAGGATCACAGTTCAGTCAGCAAGAGCAGGAAAACCCAGGAGACGCATCTCCAATTAAGCACCAAAGCTGGAAGTAGAGCTATGGCTTAGGTAGTAGAGCACTAACCTTGAGCAAAAAAGCTAAAGGACAGCACTTGGGCTCTGAGTTCAAGCTGTAATACACCTACACACACACACACATACACTCCTACCCTGACAGGCTGCGGTTGGGCCTCGATCACTCCTGAAGACCCAGTCATTATCATAAGACAGTCTGCCAAGACTTTTTTTTTATAGCCTTACCACCACATAGAGAAATATGTTGTTGTTTTGTCGGTTGTGGGGCTTGAACTCTGGGCCTGGGCACTGTCCCTCAGCTCTTCAGCTCAAGGCGAGCACTCTATCACTGAGAGCCACAGCGCCACTTTGGCTTTTTCTGCTTATGTGGTGCTGAGGAATCCAACCCAGGGCCTCATGCATGCAAGGGAAGCACTCTACCACTGAGCCACCTTCCCAGCCCCTAAAAAGGCCTAGTTTTTGACCCTTAAGTAACTTACTGAAGAATCCTTGTTCTAGCCATCATCTTTAGGGTCTCCTAAACACACAGGACCACTCCCACCCAGCCCAGAGCCCTCATCTGGGCCTCCAGGCTTTTCTTGAATGCAAGAGCCTCTGTCCTGAGCTCCCTGTGGGACTTGAATTTTCCTTTGCCTCTAGCACGCCCTCCAAGTCTCAACCCCAGAGTCTACCTTGCACGTGGCTCTTCTTGCCTGCATTGTCCTTTTTTCTTTCAAGAACACCTCAAATACCAGGGCTGGGAAGGTGGCTCAGTGGTAGAGCGCTTGCGTTCATGCATGAAGCCCTGGGTTCCCTTCCTCAGTACCACATAAGCAGAAAAAGCCAGAAGTGGCGCTGTGGCTCAAGTGGTAGAGGGCTAGCCTTGAGCTGAAGAGCTGAGGGACAGTGCCCAGGCCCAGAGTTCAAGCCCCACGACCCACCAAAAAAAAAAAAAAAAAGAACAATTCAAATACCAATTTACCCACAAATAGGGGGTGGGTGGCTCACATCTGTAATCCTTGCTATTCAGGAGGCTGAGATCTGAAGATCTCAGTTCAAAGCTGGCCTAGGCAGGAAGGACTGTAAGACTCTTATCTCCAATAAACTACCCAAATTCCAGAAGTAGAGCTGTGGCTCAAGGGGTGGAGTATCACCAGCCTTGAGCAACACAAGAAGCTGAGAAAACAGCACCTAGGCCCTGAGTTCAAGCCCCAGGACCAGCACAAAAAGAAAACAAAACACAAACAAACTTGGAAGTGGAGCTATGGGTCCAATGGTAGAGCACCAGGCTTGAATGGAAAAGTCAAGAGAGAGCATAAGGCCCTGAGTTCAAGTTCCAGAACCAGATTAAACCAACCAACAGGAATAAAAACAAATGGCATTAAATAACAAATACATGTTTTCTGAAGTCAGTGTCTTCTTAGAAGCATGAGGTTTGGGGCTTTGGTTGGGACTCAGTTAAATCCCGACTCAGCTATTTACTGTGTGACCTCATAGGAGTTACATAAGTTTCCTAAGTCCCTTTATAAAACAGCAGTATTTCCGCCTACCTCCCACAGACAGGATGGGAGGATCGAAGATAAAGCACAGGGAAGAATCTGCACATTTCAAGGGATGGATAGCACCAGGCTCCCAGCAACAGAGGTCTCAGCAGTCCTTGGCCCAAGTGTCTGCACATAACAACCAGGCAGCTTCAGACCAGTTTCGCCGGTTCAGCCCAAACCCCAGGAGGCCTCATAAGCATTGACCTAGGCACCTTCATTCCAGAAGTCAGGTGACTCAGGATACCAGCCTGGCATTGGCCTGGGGTAGGAAGACCACATCTACATCCTGGTTCACAGAAGGCAGTTTCTATTCCTCTTCCAAACATCTAGGTGCAGGGACAGACCTCTCAAGCGGGCTGAAGTTGCCAGTGGCTCACACCTATAATCCTAGCTACTCAAGAGGCTGAGATCTGAGGATCACGGTTCAAAGCTAGACTGGGCCGGAAAGTCCGAGAGACTCCTATCTACAATAAACCACCAGAAAACCGGAAGTGGCACTGTGGGTCAAGTGGTAGAGCATTTGCCTTGAGCTCAAGAGCTGAGGGACAGCGCCCAGGCCCAGAGTTCAAGCCCCACGACCAAAAGAAAAAGAAAAAAGGGGCTGCATCCTGTGGGTGCCCCCCTTGTGACCCACCAGCCTCTCTTTGAGGGAAACAGTGAGCAAAATGATGCCCACTGTGAACTTGCTGACAGGCGGGGACACCTATGTGTGTCATTGTGCATCATTAGAATGCGTCAGACAACTTCACAGAACAATTAGGAAACAGAACCAAGCCTTGAAAAGACTTAGAGAGACTGACAGGACGCGCTGTCCCTCATACGACCAGCCAGGGGCTCACCGTCTTCTGCAGTGTTCAGCTTGAGGCTCTTGCCCTTAAAACTCAGCTGTCCTCCGGCCACCTGGGTTTTGGCCAGGGTTTCTGCCAGTTTGGCAATGTCTTCAGAAGCCATGCTGGCCACGATGGTCGGCTTCCCTGGAGATCTGCAAACTGAAGAGACCAAAACTGAATTAGGAAAGAGGAGTCTGCTGGGTGCTGGTGGCTCATGCCTGTAAATCCAGCTACTCAGGAGGCTGAGATCTGAGGATGGAGGTTCAAAGCCAGCCCGGGCAGGTAAGGACATGAGACTCTTACCTCCAATCAACCACCAAAAGTTGTAACTCAAGTGGCAGAGTGCTAGCCTTGAGTAGAAAAACTTAGGGACAGCATCCTTGCCCTGAGTTCAAGCCCCAGGACCAGTACAAAAAAAAAAGAAAAAAGTGAAGTTTCCTACCATGTATAAGACTCTATGTTAAGGAGGGGATGGTAGGGGGAAAACAATGGAGGGGGTAACAATGTTCAAGAGGAAGTGTACTCATTACCTCACTCATGTAACTGTAACCCTCTGTATAGTAGCTTTACAATAAAATTAAATTAAAAAAAAAAAAAAAAAACAAATAAAAAAAGACTCTATGTTTGATCTCGAGATGAAGGAAGGAAGGAGCAAGGATCTCCTCAGGGTACTATGAGTTTTCAGAGAAGAAAAATGGCATCTTGGGAGTTTGGCCTCACTCTCCCTTGCCTTGGAGAATCCAAAAGCTAAACCACTGGAGGAAATGAACAAAAGCGCACCAAAGGCTCACACCTGTAATCCTAGCTACTCAGGAGGCTGAGACCTGAGGATCAAAGCCAGCCCAGGCAGGAAAGCCCATGAGACTCTTATCTCCAATTAACTAGCAAAGCTTGAAGTGAAGCTGTGGCTCAAGTGGTAAGGTGCTAGTGGTAGGTATAAAAAATACTAATGGATAGTGCCCAGGCGTAGCACGTACGTGCACACGCGCATACACGTACACACACACACATACACTAGGATGTAGCCAACAAAGTCTTTACCTCTACAGAGTAATATCCTGCAGCCAAATTGCCTCCGCAGGGAAACAGCGAAATCATTTCTGAGCTTTCCCCAACCCCTGCAGTCAACAGCTGTCAAGTCCCAAACCCATGGCTTTGCTCATCCTGCCTGTCCCAAATACACACCTGCCTGATCATGCTGGCAGCTCTCTGCTCGAGGACCCTGGTCCTCAAACAGGAAAAAGATGGCTAAGGGAGCCAGGTCATCCATCCCAGGGAATGCCCCGTAGCCCACGTTGGCATGACTCTGAGGGGTGGGCACCAGGGCTCAGCCCACTGCACATCCGGTTTCAACCCTGGGCCAGGAGACTGTGCAGGACAGGATGGCCTGTCTGTTCCTAGGAGACCAGCGGTGGCTACATCACAAGGGCCGTCATCACAATAGGCCGGTGTATAAAACACAAACTCAAAATCTCTCCTCCATACTGTTGCAGGGAGAAGTTCTTCAAGCAAGCAATGGCGTCTGCAGCAGACCCCAGCTGTGCGTCCTTCTGCTGCCACTGTTTACTGGGTATAGTGGCAGATCCCACCCGGGATGCCAATGCAAACCCCAGGCTCCTTGTCTGTGTGCCTCTGACCTGCTGTATGAAGCGGGTTCCGTTTCAGCCGCTGTCCTTGGGTTCTTTACTTTGCTGCAACAGCACAGACCCGTGCAGACTCATGTTCACTGGCTTGTTCCAAAGAATGTTTGCATGTGTGTGCAGTACTGGGGATGGAACGCAGCGTCTCACGCCACTGAGTTCTATCTTCCAGCCCCTCTAAAGAATAGAAAATGTAAAGGAAATAAAAGAGGAGGCGGTGAAGGAATGCGCTGGAGGAGGGATGAGAAGCGGGCTCGCGCTTCTGTGTCCTCTGGGCTTTAACCACCCTCCATGTTCAGCGGTCGGGAGCTCTGTAAATTCTCTCCTTTTGGTTTTTCATTCCATAAGCATGATTGACTAAATCACTGGCCAAAGTGGTTATCAACTTATCCTTTAGCCTCTCTCCCTTCCCCAGAGGCCGGGCTAGAGGGCAAAAAGTCTCAACACTAATGCAGCTTGGATTTTTCTAGTGACCAGCCCCATCCAACTGCTACCTAGGTGGCTGTGGTCAGCTCATTGGCATGCAAAATGACACGAATCACTATAAGATTTGTATCCCAGGAAGCATGAAGATCAATTTATGTCGTACAATAGCACAGCCAGTGATAGAACTGCTTCTAGCTTACAGCTCAGCAGACCAGGAGAATGGATAGCTTGGTCTAGGGTACAGCTCTATGGACTTGTTTAGCATGTATGAGGCCTGGAGGAGATCTCTTAGCACTGCCAAAAATAAATAAATAGAGCTAAACAACTTCATTTTCCCGAAGACTTTAAGTATTATCCAGAAGAAAGTATTATCCTCTCAAACTCCTCATCCTGAGACACAACTGCATACCCCTCATCCACCCGGTCTCCTTTCTCCTTATCGTAGAAGTTAGAGTTTACAGTTTATATTTGTGTGTGTATGAGTCCAATGTTTTTGGTAGTTCATTGGATAAGTCTCATGGACTTATCTGTTTGGGCTGGCTTTGAACCTCGATCCTCATATCTTAGGTTCCTAAGTAGCTAGGATTACAGGCATGAGCCACCAGTGCTGTGCTTTCCTTTTTTGGTCTGAAACTGGGACTTGAACTTGGTACCTGACACTTTTACTCATTGGTGAGCATGCTAACTAAGCCATCCTTCAACCCCTATACTGGTTATTTAAGATAGGTTCTTGATTCCTATGTCAATGTGCTCTGCCTACTTTAGGCTTCCTATAGTCTCTGGGATGCAGGACAATGCAGCACCCAACTGCTACATTGTATCTTTAGCAATAAACATGAATTATTTTTCTAATTTAAGTTACCTAATAATCATTCAACAAAAAGAAATATTTACTGCCCTTACATTGTTCCAAGTATCAGAAGCACAGTAGTAAATGAAACAAAACACTTCCCTCTTGATGTTTATGTCTGATTCCTTTTTTTCTTCTTGGTCAGTCGTGGGGCTTGAACTCTGGGCCTGGGTGCTGTCCCTCAACTCTTTAGCTCAAGGCTAGTGCTCTACCACTTGCGCCACAGCACTACTTCCAGTTTTCTGGTGGTTTTTATTGGAGATAAGAGTCTCATGGACTTTCCTGCCCAGGCTGGCTTTGAACCATGATCCTCAGATCTCAGCCTCCTGAGTAGCTAGGATTACAGGTTCCTCCCCTTTTTTTTGGGGGGGGGGGGAGAGGACAAGATCATGTTATATATCCAAGCTGGCCTGCAACTCACAAGCCTCCTGCTTCAGTCTCCCAAATGCAGGGATTACAGGTATGCACTACATACCTAGCTTGCCACTTAAGAGTCTAAACAAAATATCTAGTATTTTAGTAATTAAAATAAACTGGAAGCTGGGGCTATAGCTCAGTTGTAGAGAACATGCCTACTATACTCAAAGCTCTGGACTCAATGCTCAGCAGTGAAAAAAAAATAGAAAAATAAAAATAAACAGGAAGGCAGGTAAGGGAGATTGTGTGTATGTTTTCTTTCTTTCTTGGGGGGAGGACAGAATAATTAGAGAAAGTGTTATCAGAAAAGAAACAAAAATATAAAGGATATCTTGCAATAAGTTATGCAAGACATCTGGGAGTAAACCATTCCTGAAAAGGGAACAGAACAGACCAAGGCTTCTGGGAACAGAGGAAAATAGACAGATCAGAGGAGATCAGTGGTGCTGGAGCACAGAGGAAGGAAGAAAGGAGGCAGATGAGAAAGGAGAAGGGGCTTTAAGTCAGGAAGGCCATGTTAAGAGCTGTGGCTTTTCCTCAGTGGACTGCCAGAAGGTTTCTGGCAGAACAAAAGCGCTCTACATCTATCACTGTAAATGGCTTGGCTTTTGAAAGGTGTCCCAAGAATGACCAATAGAATACTGAATAAATATTAACTCGCAATTCAACCACCTCTAACAGCTCCAAGTTAGAACAACTTGAAGCTAGTAAAGTGTTGGGGGGAAAAGGAGGTGGGACACGGAACTTCGCAGCTGGAGGGGGTCGGTCCGTTAGGAGAGAGAGACACAGACGGACACAGACGCGCGCGCAACACACACACACACACACACACACACACCGTCCTCCATCACGTCAAAGCACAAAGACAGACAGACTGATTTGCCCAAAGCCAGCAAAGAGCCAGCGACGGTGCAAAGACAAACGGTTAAGACACAAACGTGTGTCCTCCCGGGCGGCCGCGTGGGAGCTGTCCTTCGGTGCGCATCCATCGATCCGCAGCGCATCGGCGGTGACTCACGCCGATCTCCCCCAAGCAGGCGTGGGCCCAGCGGGAGGCGGCGCGGGCGAACGCGGGAGGCATGTCGGGCGTGGGGAAGGAGGCCGGCGGAGGTTCCCGGGGACCTCGAGCCGCCTCCAGGTGAGACTGACGCGCTAACGTGAGCCGTCACTGCTGGGAGCCACGAGCTGGGCGGCTCCGTGGAGTCGGATACCCGCCCCGGGCCTCAGTTTCCCCATTTGTGAAAGGCCCAGCACCCCATTTATTTGGCCCTGCCGAAGGAGCAGCGGAGGAGGCCGTCGGGCGGGCAGAGGCGCCCAGGTAGCCGGTCCGTGGCGGATCCCGAGCCCCACCCCACGCAGGCGCCCCGGAGAGTAAAGGAACCCTACCGTAAACAGGCGGCGCCGCCGCGTGGGGCGACCCGATCGCGCGCGTCCGCCGGGCGCGGCGGGGCGGACTGGGGGGCCGGGTCTGGTCTGTTCCCGTCCGATCGCTGTGCCTGGGCCGGGGCGCCCCAGTGCCCAGTCCGCCTGTCCGTCAGCACTCCCGGGGCTCCTCGTCCCTGGCGTCCCCGACACCACCTGCTCTTCGCCGGGCGGTGGATGATGGCGGAGGAGGAGGATTTTGAAAGCCGGCAGTTTCTTTCCTTCGATTTGATTTGCTCAAGATCGGGCCGGCTTCTCCCCCCATTCCGCGCGCGTGGCGCACTGGGTAGGGAAGTCCTGTTCTCCAGCAGGAACGTGACGCGTCCTGTGTCGCGAACTACCCGTCCCATAGTGCAGAGCGCCAGGAACGCCCCGCCCCTCTCCACCCCCTCCCTCCCCCGGCTTCTGGCTCTTTCTCGCAGAACCCGCCCGGCAGTGTTCGGTCGGAGCACCCAGAGACTACGACTCCCGGCAGGCTTTGCGACCAGTTGTCTACGCCCTTCCAGGAGGATCTTCACGCAACTTTGTTGGCAAAGGCTGAAGCCGCCAAAAGTGTGCCGCGAAAACAGCCATCCGTTTGCTGTATACACACACACACAGCCATCCGTTTGCCACACACACGCACACGCACACACACACACACACACACACACACACACACACACACACCGGGCCAGGCGCCAGTGGCTCACGGCTGTAATACTAGCTACTCAGGAGGCTGAGATCTGAGGATCACAGTTCAAAGCCAGCCCGGACAGGAAAGACCATGAGACTCTTATCTTCAATAAACCACCAAAAAACCTGAAGTGGCGCTGTGGCTCAAGTGGTACAGCGCTAGCCTTGAGCTGAAGAGCTCAGGACGGTGCCCAAGGCCCAGAGTTCGAGCTACATGACCGACAAAAAAAAAGAAAAGACATTGGAAAGAAGATTTACCTTGAGAATAAATAAGGTAAAATGGCAACTAGAGAAACCTTGCAAACACCACTTTAACCAAACAGTCCAGACTGATATCCATCACAGCCTCCAGAAGACGTGGGAAGGATGCAGCATCATGGTCCAAACAGCAATTCAGTTATGGGGGAACTTCAGAGAAACCTGTCCTGATTGGGGGCTTTGCTCTCTATAGGAGAACATCAAGACAGCAAACTTTGTATGTTACACTACTGTGTCATGTTAAAGTATTTCTATGCATTATATATACTGGTAATATACATGCTATTATAAGATAATATTGGTCTCTTGTCCCATTTCCTGGCATACAACTTCTTAAAAATCTTTGGAGGATGGGGCTTGGAAGGTGGCTCAGTGGTAGAGCGCTTGCCTTGCATGCCTGAGGCCCTGGGTTCGATTCCTCAGCACCATATAAGCAAAAAGAAAAAAAAAAGCTGGAAGTGGCGCTGTGGCTCAAGTTGTAGAGCGCTAGCCTTGAGCTGAAGAGCTGAGGGACAGCGCCCAGGCCCCATGACCAGACCCAAAAAAATAAAAAATAAAAAAAATAAAAATAAATCTTTGGAGGACACCCAGCTGTTATCTGCTGCATAACTGGTTGCTTATGTGGGAGAAAATCCCCACACATCTGGGGTCAATGAAATAATCTATGTTGACTGCTGGGTAAAAGAAAGAAAAGTAATTTGCTTTTTCCTCTGTATTCTCAGATGAGGAGACTGTTCTTATACTTTAAAAAAAAAAAAGCTGAAGGGCTGGGAAGGTGGCTCAGTGGTAGAGCGCTTGCCTTGCATGCCTGAGGCCCTGGGTTCGATTCCTCAGCACCACATAAGCAAAAAGAAAAAAGCCAGAAGTGGTGCTGTGGCCCAAGTGGTAGAGGGCTAGCCTTGAGCTGAAGAGCAGAAGGACAGCGCCCAGGCCCAGAGTTCAGGCCCCACGACCGGACCCCCCCCCCAAAAAAAAAAAAAAAAACAGCTGAAATAATTAGAAACAAAGGAACATGATGTCTGCCACTTTACTATCAAATTATTGTTTTTATTTTATACTTTATTTAGTTTTTGTGCCAGCCCTAGGGCTTGAACTCAGGGTCTGGGGTTCCCTCCCTGAGCCTTTTTTGCTCAAAGTTAGCATTCTATCACTTGAGCCACAACTCCACTTCTGGCTCTTTTGGTAGTTAATTGGAGATAAGAGTTTCTCCTAGGCTGGGAAGGTGGCTCAGAAATAGAGTGCTTGCTTTGCATGCATGAGGCCCTGGGTTGGATTCCTCAGCACCACATAAGCAGAAAAAGCCAAAGTGGCGCTGTGGCTCTCAGTGATAGAGTGCTCGCCTTGAGCTGAAGAGCTGAGGGACAGTGCCCAGGCCCAGAGTTCAGGCCCCACGACCAAAATCAAAACAAAAAACAAGAGTTTCTCCTACTTAGTTGCCCTGGTTGGCTTCAAACTGTGGCCCTCAGATCTCAGCTTCTGGAGTAGCTAGGATTACAAACATGAGCTACAAACACCCCTGACTAGTACCAGAAAAAAAAAACAAAAAAAACTTTTAGCACTATATAAGTAGCATGTGTTAATTGTGAACACTTTGACTGATCTAGGACAAGATAAGTGGACAAAAAAGGAAATAGGGCCCTAAACTGATACCAAGAGATGATCTCTATCTACATATGCAGGCTACTTTTACCTCTTGCAAGTAAGTCCACACTTGCTATTGCTTTGCCTGAAATTCAGAGTTAACTGGTCATGTGACAGATCCTTAAAAACACAGCTAATTGAACCTTTACCACCACACAGGAAGTGGGCATCATTAATCCCTTTCCCACCCCAGAGAGGAGAAAACAGGAACACTCTGTTGGTTCAACTTCAGAGAGGTATCGCCTCCCCTGTCTTCTCTCCTTTTCTGCTTACAAGGCCCATATCATCCATGTTGCCCTCAGTCATCATTCTACAGAGTTAGTCTTCCCTGCATGACACCTACTTGTTGAAGGTGGCAGAGCAGTTGGTAAATAGCCCAAAGTTAGCATGTTCTTAGCAGCTCCCTCAGCCTGGGAGGGTCCCTAGGGCAGGTACTGGGCCTGGCCTGCCATAGGTATTTCATGTTATTATTATTATTATCTTTAAGTAGGTATATAGAGAGTTTCAATTCAACATTATCAGTTAATCAGTAAAATGCATCTGGATCAATGTTATTCCTTCCATCATTCTACCCCTAATTCATACTAACCTTCTACCTGGTTCCTTTTTCACATATGTACATTGAATATTATAACTAATATATTTTTTATTTTATTTTGTAGGTCGTGGGGCTTGAACTCAGGGCCTGAGCATTGTCCCTGAGCTTGCTTTTTTTTTTGTCGGTTGTGGGGCTTGAACTCTGGGCCTGGGCGCTGTCCCTCAGCTCTTCAGCTCAAGGCGAGCACTCTACCACTTGAGCTACAGCGCCACTTCCGGTTTCCTGGTGGTTTATTGGAGATAGGAGTCTCACGGTCTCTCCTGCCCGGGCTGGCTTTGAACCGTGATCCTCAGATCTCAGCCTCCTGAGTAGCTAGGATTACAGGCGTGAGCCACCAGCGCCTGGCTCAGTCCCTGAGCTTTTTTCACTCAAGGCTACCAATCTACAACTTGAGCCACAGTGCCACTTCCCGCATTTTCTGTGTATGTGATACTGAGGAATCGAACTCAGGGTTTCATGCATGCTAGGCAAGCACTCTACCACGGCCACATTCCTAGCTGTGTGTGTGTGTGTGTGTGTGTGTGTGTGTGTGTGTGTGTGTGTGAGTGTGTTTAAAGAATGTTTCTGAGAGGCTGGGTAGGTGGTTCAGTGGTAGAGCGCTTGCCTTGCATGCATGAAGCCCTGGGTTTGATTCCTCAGCACCACATAAACTGAAAAAGCCAGAAGTGGCACTATGGCTCAACTGGTAGAGCGCTAGCCTTTATCTGAAGAGCTGAGCGACAGTGCCCAGGCCCAGAGTTCAGGGCCCAGGACTGACAAAAAAAAAAAAAGAGAGAGAGAGAGAGAGAATGTTTCTGAGCAAGAAAAGCAGGCTGCCTTTGATTAGTCTGGTTTACTTAATGGAGTGTTTTAAATTCCATTCTGGTGCCTGAAAGCAAACTTAATTGCCAATTGTAAATGGAATAAATAACAATATTTATGCTGGTTTCCTGAAAAAACTACTGAGGCTGCAGACTTGCCATTTAGTGGAATCAAAACCAAAAGGCTGAAGTATGCCAGACATATGAGGAATGTGGCGAGAAATTCCCAAGGTTCAACCAGGCCCTGCCCTGGGGCCCCAGAAGAGAGATGTGTCAGCTCACCAGCCTGGCTAGGGAGCCTCTGCCAGGACCACCCCCTTCCCCCTCCTGAGACAGGGTGGCTCTGTCACCTGTGAAGGCTACTCAAACCATACCTCTCTTTACACCGGGCCTCCTGATTAGAAAACTTTTATTTTTAACCTTGGTAAATAACTGAAACCATCTAGAAGTACGTAAGAGTCTCAGGACTTGCCGGGCGCCGGTGGCTCACGCCTGTAATCCTAGCTACTCCTCAGGAGGCTGAGATCTGAGGATCATGGTTCAAAGCCAGCCTGGGCAGGAAAGTTCATGAGACTCTTATGTCCAATAAACCACTAGAAAACTGGAAGTGGTGCTGTGGCTCAAGCACAGGCGGTAGAACACTAGCCTTGAGCTGAAGAGCTGAGGGACAGTGCCCAGGCCCAGAGTTCAAGCCCCACAACCAACAAAAAAAAAGAGTCTCAGGATTCTCCTGCCTGGACTAACTTTGAATTATGATCCTCAGCTCTCAGCCTCCTGAGTAGCTAGCATCATATACATGGGCCACCAGAACCTGGCTGATGTTTTCTTTTTCTTCTTTTTCTTTTCTTTCTTTTTTTTGGTCAGTTATGGGGCTTGAACTCTGGGCCTGGGTGCTGTCCCTCAGCTCTTCAGCTCAAGGCTAGCGCTCTACCACTTGAGCCTCAGCCCTACTTCCAGCTTTTTCTGCTTATGTGGTGCTGAGGAATCGAACCCAGGGCCTCATGCATGCAAGATAAGCACTCTACCACTGAACCACTTTCCCAGCCCTCTTCTTTTTCTCTTTTTTCTTTTTTTCTTTTTCCTTCTTTTTGCCAGCCCAGGGGCTTGAACTCAGGGCCTGGGCACTGTCCCTGAGCTTCTTTGCTCAAGGATAGCACTCTACCACTTGAGCCATAGCACCACTTCCAGCTTTTTCTATTTCTGTGGTACTGAGGAATGGAACCCAGGGCTACATGCATACTAGACGAGCACTCTA